ACAAGGTACAGAGGAGTGATTCCCAAAAATTTGTCCTCTGACCGTCACATATATGCCGGGGCACATTCCCTCTCTCTCTCTCTCTCTCTCTCTCTCATTCCTTCTCACTCTCCCTTTTGCTTTTTCTCTATCACATTCACACTAAATAAATAAATAAATAAATAAATAAATATTAATGAACACAATGCCATAGTCATTGCCTTTTGCCTCATGGTCTATTAATGAGGACTTGTTCAAATATACAACTAGTAGAAATAAGATATGAAAGTTGCATTATTAAATAACTGTGGAAGCTCAAAGAATTATGAGAGCTAAATCTGCTAGACTGAGAAATGAGTCTCACAAGAGAAGTTATATGTGAGCTGAGAACAAACAGGGCTTGACTAGATGGACGAGGGGATGCAGAGACTCAGACTGCATGAACAGTTTGTCATGTATGTGAACAGTTTCATCTTCTTGATGTGAATAAATGCATGCATGTGAAAATTTTAAAGTGGGTAATTTATCTATATGCATATTTATCATTTGCTAAGAATAAACTTATGTCTAAAATGAAGAAAATAAGTAAATCATGAATGACATCCATATTTACACCTCACTAAACATTTACTAAATGGACTATAGCCATTCTGAATGAATACATAACTGAATTTGGGGTAAAAAATGTTTACCTCTCAAAGATCCCTATAACCTTTTGTTGAATATTATTTCAATACATTTGCATCACACAAGGCTGAGGCTGTTACCAGACTGACAATGTTTATTATAAAAGGCCAGAGCTAGGGATAAAAGACTAAGATACACTTTAAGGCAGCTCACTCGGTAAGCTTAATTCAACTTGTACTTTCTTCCTTAAGGCCTATGCTATGCACACTTCCACCTACAACAACACGACAGTTCTTTCTCTCCCTATGACACTTACCTTCATGATTAAGCATCTGTGTTCCAAAGACTGACTAAAATTTGTGCTCATTTCAAATATACTTGTGATTCCATTCTCACACAAATTCATCCAGTAAAGATACTCCTCCTGTCCAGGAAGTCGATCCCAAAAAGTCCTGAAAGCTTCCCAGATGGCTTCCTGGCACACTGGAAAACGGAGAGAGATGTTTTAGGAAAAGCTAATGTTCCCTAAGGTTCTGACAACAACTGTGAAACAATCCATTCACATTCCTCTGAGATGCTTTTGACCCACACTGTCCTTTCTGGGGTGACAAGAAAATGGTATCCAGTTAAAACCATCCAGTTTAAACTTTTCAGTTCTGAAAAACAAATTTTACTCACCAATGATTCCTTACAAAAAGGATTAACTAACTTCTTAATAAATTTGTTCCTAATTGATTTTTTAAATTCCAGGTTTATATCTCATAAGATGTAGCTAGTACTACATTGAGTAGTACTGAGTCGCCCGGGATCCACTCATTCCTCCGAAAAGCAAACCATGAGCAACAGCCAAGCGCAGGGCACCCTGGGGAGAAGGGTGGAGCCTAGCCTGCAGAGCTAGCACTGGGAAGACTGGAACAGAGAAAGGGTGTTAGGGCCACAGGGGCTAAATGCAGCACCCCACGTGGCATGGACATGCGATGGGCACTTAAGATGGTGGGTATGGTGTGCAAAAGCTGATGGAGATTAAGGTCGGGTTTGAATGGCACACGGGTTATGGGAAGCTGTTCCGTTTAAGTACCCCCTTCACCTCCAAGTGTCACAAAATGGTACAAAACCCAAACTAAAATGTCTTACGTTAGTCTGTGAGCCCTAGGGCCTCAGAGGGCACACAGAGCCTCCCAGGAAGGGAAGAAAATTTAGTGCAACAACATTGTATTCAATCATGTTTTACTAATAGACACTATAATTCTAAATTGATTTTACTGAAGTTGTTCCTTCAAAAATAACTTCTCAGCTTTTCAAGAGGCAATGAGATGTTGAAACAGCCTAGGGCTATTTTTGGCAAAATACAGAAACACAAATGAATCTACTCTTCTGAAAACTGATCACATATCTCTAATTTTTAAAAAGGAGTACTTGGAACTCCTCAATGCTATAAGAAGTTGAAGGCACTTCATAAAGTTGGGAAGAGTTCACCTAGGGCAGTCATTCTCCAGGTACTACATCTCATATCTGAAAAGATAAACTAATGAGTCATTTTACACATCAAAAGAAACAAATTCGGTTCAGCTGTACTGCTTCATATTTACCTAAACAAAGTGAAGACATGACTGCACAAAGACTCCCATACAAATATTTATTGTTGTTGTTTATTTTTTTAACTTAAAAAATTTATTGAGAATTTCATATATGCATATAAGGTTTTTTTATCAAATCTGTGCCCACTCCCACCCCTCCAACTCCTCCCATATCTCTCCATTTTTTCCTGATAATTTCATGTACTCTTTT